AAGTTTATGTCATAAAATTATCTCACTTGCTCAAGTTCAGATGGGTAAATGATGTGAAAATCCAGCTGTTTAAGTGAAGAATGGATAAAATTATGGCTACAGACTTACACAGCTATTGATGTATCAAAGTCTATTGAGCAAAACTGGGCTTAGCTAGTAGAGAAAGCAGGCAGAATTCAAATTTACTGCCAACTATTTAAACCGTAAAACCTCCCCCAGCCCCCTTCCAAACCTGCCTTAACATCGCATGGTTCATACTGAAAAAAACAGATGGTCAATACAGTGCCCTAAACACAGCACTCAAGCAGGCTAAGATGCACTAGCACAGAAATACTAACTGTAAGGGGCTATGTCTTGCTCTTAAGCTAAATCCCTGGACACTTTATATTATCCTTTTTATAGGCATTAATTGTGACATCTGCTCTTTGATAGTGCTTCAGCAACAATTTGCTTCTGCATTTTTGGACCTGTCCCATGGAAAATAAATGTGTCCTTTGCCCATGGAGGATGCAACCCAACCACTGTAAACTTGTTTCTTGGATGGAGAAACATCCTAGGTCAAGCTTGAATCATGTTCTAAATAGCACAACAAGGCAAAATGTTTTAGCCCGAAGTGAGCCAAGAGAAATAATGGCTACTTCTGTTTATATGTCAGTGCTCTGACAGAAAAGCTATTCTTCAAAGAGTTAAGCAACTTCCAGAGATGATCAGTGAGGGAAATATCGTATCTAATGTCTTGATGAAGGGAGACAGAAAGAGATGGGAAATGACAGAGGGGAGAGAGCAGGCTTGGAGGAAGAGATGGCTACATATTCACACAAATAAACATGAGTTCTATTACCATGTGCTGCAAACTGCTTTGTGCAAAAACTGTGCTGATTAAAACTACAACTAAATGCTGAATGCATGGTCTTTACAACACAACAGGACTAATTCCAAGTGTGCGTGCAAAGGGACCGCCAAACCATCTATTAAAAGTGTACGCTTACCTAGTCAGCAAATAGGCCAGTGATCACCACTTACTCTGCCTTTTAATAAAGGGATTTGAGAATATTCCCTAATCTTATGAGAAACACAGATTTTCATTATTCTTTTGTGAATTAGAATAACTGCATTATAGTAGCTGGAAAAAAAAATAATTAAAAAGGCATCTTAGTTTGTCTTTCTTCACTTGCTCCCTAGAATTATTGAACTTTAAGTTACAGTAAGAAAAAGGGTAATAAATTGGCACATGTTATATTTTATTATGGATTTTGGAAAAAGCAACAGCAGGTTTTTATGAAACACACACAGTGCCTTACATTGTAAAATTCTTCAGGGTAATCTGGCTTGTTTTTTGCTCCTGGCAATGGGAAACAGTAGTGAGATTGCCAAGACTTTGATTCTTCATTCCTCTGGGCTTCCAGTGCCCCAGAACCTTGAAAACACCAGGATCCATGACTCCTTGGTAATAGGCACTACGGTGTGACCCTGGAGCTGTGAAGCCAAATGAGCTATAAAAAAAGGACCCCACAAGCCCTAAAATATTCCAAAACACATAGATCAGCTGGTAGCAAAACTAGCCCAATTAGATCAGAAGTTCTACCTATCGTTTGTCAGAAGTTTGTGAAAACTGAGACACATCTCAAAACCAGCAAGACACAGTCATTTTTCCATGCAAAACCACATCAATGAAAAAATTCCTAGCATGCTTCAAAGCCACAGCCAGTAACTAAGCAGAAAACTAGCTTTAGGTTGGAAAAGGGACTTTGATCTTTGCTGGTCATTTAGTGGCTTTCACAGTTCCAGTGCTGGGGACAGGAGAGGTTACAGATCACTCCCATTCATCTAATGGCCTATGGTGAGAGAAAGAGAGAGAGGCAAGATTATGTGCTACTCTGCACTCCAGAATGAGCTTGGTAACACAATAAAAGATCAGACGTAGAACTGAAAGACCAGGTAGTTTGAGGTATTGTAGTTGCTACACTTGGCTATGCATATAGGCCTAAGATTGATTTTAGTTAAGCATCTGACACTGATTCCCATGGCATTCTTGCAGCTAAACTGAGGAAGTGTGGTCTGGATGATCGGGTAGTAAGGTGGATTGTGAACTGGTTGAAGGACAGAAGTCAGAGTGTTTTGGTCAATGGAACAGAGTTGGAGGCCTGTACCTAGTGCAGAGCCACAGAGATGATTAAGGGAGTGGAACAACTCCCTTATGAGGAAAGGCTGAAGGATCTGGGTCTCTTTAGTTTGGTGAAGAGACTGAGGGGTGACCTCATTAACGTTTACAAATATGTAAAGGGTAAGTGTCAGAAGGATGGAGCCAGGCCCTTCTCAGTGATGTCTAATGATAGGATGAGGGGCAATGGTTGCAAGCTGGACCACAGGAGGTTCCACAAAAGCTTAAGAAAAACTTTTCCACTGTGAGGGTGACAGAGCACTGGATCAGGCTGCCCAGAGAGGTTGTGGAGTCTCTGGAAATATTAAAAACCCACCTGGACAGATTCCTGTGTGATCTGCTCTAAGGAATCCTGCTCTGGCAGGGGGGTTGGACTAGACAGATCTTTTAAGGTCCCTTGCAACCCCTAACGTTCTGTGATTCTGTGAAGATTCATGTATTTCTATTTAATGGGACAAACAGTCCTATGTTAACTTTTTTTTCACATGTTCTTGGACAAAAATATGCTATTTCATCATATATCAAATGTCCTATGGATGCTGCTGAAAAACTATTTAACTGAATTAGTTTACGAGGTAGCCCTTGGGTTACATGGAATAACGTTCCTTCTTAGAACTCTGTTTTATGCCAGGTAATCTCTTTCCATTAAGAGGACTCTCTCTTTGGGAAACGTATTTTATTAACCTGAACTTCAGATAATTTTCTTGGTTTTTACGTCTCTTTGTCCAGATCTACCTTGTTTTGTGGTGAACTTTCAAAACTCATGTAGCCAAGTATGTGGCCACTAGAACTGGAAGTATCTAGCAAGATGAGCTCTGAGTGTGCTCTACATGTTCTTATACCCATAAGAATGAAACAAAGCAAGGGAAAGCCTTAATTTACTTTCCTTCACAAAACCTTGAGAAAGCGCAGCTTCAAATACCTTTCCTTCTCAAAACCCTGAAAAAGCACCCATTTATTTTCCTTGACCTGAAGACAGAATTTTCAAAAGAAGCTAAGCAGAACATCTATGCAGTTGCCCTGCAGGTAGACTCAACACTTCATCTCCTCTTACTATTGAACTGACCAAAAGCTCACTTAAATCAGTAAGAGTCCTTCTATGAACTTCAACAAACTTTGGATTAGACAAATCTTGCACAGGAGCAATACCTGAGCCTGCAGGTAGGAACACATTCCAAAATATTTGGAAAGAATTTTTACTTAGTACTTCAACCTTTTAAATCAGGGGTAGGAAAAAGACAAGTGCCAAGAACAACCCTTTTCTGACATTACCTCCATTTCCTAAATGTTGCCTATTTTAATAGTGGGTAGAACAGATGGTGAAATATAATCTCCACTGAGAACGAAATGACAGTGACTAGCTGTAGGGGACACTAAAGTATTAAAGAGAAGGAAATACACAAATAATGAAAGTACATTTTGTCCAGCTTGCTTTGAATGAGGCATAAAATAAAACGTAAATAATTTCTATTAGAAGGAAACCTAATGTAATGACTTTGGTATCTGCAAATAGACTGAGCTTGTATTGTATAACCTGGATTTGCACCTGAGGTAGGACAATACTACTTACCTGGATTTCACGTAAGGATTATATTAATACCATTTTCACTATCAGTAACAAATCACAAACCCAATACTATCAATATGACTGATAATAAAGAGATGTGGTTAGTATTAACTTGGATAGGCAGTAACAAAAAAAAAGGAGAGGAAATGTTGTTTAGCTGTATATGAACAAAGAGTTTCTATTAACCCGGGTTTGCAGTGAAGAAAAGCGTCAATATTACTAATATAGGTTTGCAATTAAGTTGGTGTCGATGTGGCTAGAAAAGGAGTTCATAATTAGGATAAAACAGTTAGTATTGACCTGAATTTTCAGTAAAAAACATATCTGTGTTTTAACTTGGAACTGTGAAATTCATCCCTCTGCTCTACAAATGACCATGGAATTATTAACTTGCAGTTACTTTACATTTACCCAATATGTTCTATTTTATATGACCATTTGCCTGTTACAAATGGTGAGCTGAATGTAGGGTTTCCAAAAGTGTCCAACAGTTAAAAGTATACATTTCTTTGCAAAAGCATTACTAAAGATTTTAAAACTTTACTCCCAGAAAAACTTACTGCTTCAGGAAGACTGTGCTCCTCCTCCAAATAATGGTTTCTTTATTAGAATTACTAGTTTTGATTAATTACTAATAAAATCTCTGTGACCTCATAAATAATTATCATACCCATTTATTGTAAATACTCTTGATGCTTCTAGCCAATGTGATCAAAAAGGGACTTAAATGGACATAAATTGGTTGTTCAATCAGCCTTATGCAATGTAATAGAGAAAACCAACAATGAGGAGTGTTTCTTTTAAAGTCACTTTAGAACCTGAGTATATGCTTTTTTTTGCACTTATTTTCCTATGCAATTCCAAGTCCAATATATCAAAGCAATATTCAAGGACAGACAAAAAAGGATTTTTCATACCAATGTAACTGTAGCATTAAGATTACTGAGACATTGCTCTGTATAAATGAGCCCTCAGACTGGTGCACAGAAAGGCAAAGACGTAATTTAATTTCAGTAAGCTTAAAAACACTGATTCACACCTATTTCCCCTCTTTAAAGCTCGATTATTTGCAAACCCACTTACCCTTTACCAGTGTGAGTGCAGATGTGTGTATCCAGGTTGAAATACAAACCTATTTTGTTACCTGTGCACAGGAAAGTGGTCTGGACTCTTTTTTAGGAGTGGGAGAATGCCCTGCTTCCTTTCAATAGAAAAGGAGAATATGAGCCCAGCAGCATTCTCTGTTTTAGTTTATTATATAAGTAGCCTCACCTCCTTCTTTTTCTTCATTTCCTCCTCCTTCTTTTTCCTCTGCACCATGAATCAAAGGTATCTTAACTTCTGTTGTGTCTTCTTGGTTTGACAAGGGCTCTGAATAAATTTGATAAAAAGGAGATGAACAGTAAGGCTTTTCAGAATGGACATAAAAGGATTAGCACACACTAGGGAGATTATAATTAAAAACACTGGCAGAGGAAAAGGATCCTTTTCCCTAAGGGTACAGATACAAAAGCTGTCTCAGGAAAATCCAAAGGGCTTTAGCTGAGGGCAAGGCCTTGATCCTCCAAGATGCTGAGCTTTCTGGGATTTAGCACAAAACCCCCACGTGCCTGACTCCAAGCATGGGTCTTCACTGAGACTCATCACAAGCCCAGAGACACACATATTCCAGAGTGTTTTGCTGGGCTGGCATTCCCTGCCCCAAACGTACAAGGCTTAAGTACTTGTCATCAGGAATAAGAAATGCAATATTAACTTATTTCTCTAGCAGTCATAGTAATTAAAAATTCAGCTATTATCACCAAGAATCCACAGATAGTCCTCTGCTATGGGTTGAATTTACAGTTACCATAAGAAGATCTGGCTCTACAGACTTAGCTTAGTAGTTTTGGAAAAAGAAAGGAAACTTAATCACTATTGATAATATCCAAGCAATAACTAGTGTTTTTGCCTGTCAATTTTGCTATTTGATTTCAAAGCATGTGTAGTACCTTCTACTTCCATGCAGGAGCTTTGGGAATCTGCCCCAGTTTTCACCTCCTCTTCTGCAGAAAGACCCTGCTGTCCTGTTAACATGACAAATTGGAAATGTCATTAGCACAATGGCTGCATGCAGGCAACAACAAATTCATCAGAACAGAACACAAACCTAACATATAGCATGGTCCTTTTCAGCCAAATACTGCTTTCTTTATATTAAATTAACAACGTTGGAATTATTTTACATATGAAAACGTCACTTAACAAACTCTAAGCATTAAGTATGTTAAATGGCTGGTGAAAACTGACCCTGAAATTATTTTTTTTTTCTTCTTTTGTATCTCAGCTCGACACACTGATCCTCATAGGAGCTGTTGCAAAGCGCTAGCACTTGACAGTTGATTTAGCAGAAGAAACAGAATCACCCCACAGGCATTTAGAACAACAAATGATAATAACAACGCTCTGCACCCAGGATCAATATGGTTAAATCCACATATTTGGAGACATGTTTTTTCTAGCAGTGCCTGAGAGGACTGCTTCACAACTGGATGGCACACAACTTCTACTAGCCGACAGCATTTTCTTAAGGCAGCAGAGGTCAGGCTGAAAACCACTGGATGCTGAAACTGGAAGAACTGAGGTTCCCAACCGGTTCATTATTTCTGTCTTAAAGAGTTTTGATACAAAACTTTACCTTCGGCTTGATCTTGTTCATATCCCACAGGATGCACTGGGTCACTCTCCTGTGTGCCTTTGGAGTCTTTCAGGGAGTCTGAGAAAACAGCAAACAAACAAAATCCTGCAGCAGTTTTCATGCTGGAAGAGTCTGGTGGCTATTTCAGACACAGGTAGCCCTTAGGTGCTACCTTCGTATCTGGCATGATACGTTGACAGATTTTCTATCTGTTTAACTACAGACTTATATACTATAAAAGTATACTTGTGGGTTTCAATTATTCAAATTGATTTCAAAAACTGTGCACTTACTGAGCAGCTTTTTGCCTGCAGTACAAACCTTAAATCAGAAGCTGGCAAGAAAGGATGTGTAAGAATAATCAGCAGCATTTATTTCTAATGAATGGAGTGGCACAAAGCTCTGAGAAACAGCACAAACCACCTACTTTATAAATAAAGTGATTTCTTATTTGTTTAGAACAACACTAGCACTTTCCATGGTTGATCTTCCACAAGCTTGACAAACACTTAGTCCTGTAAACCCTAGTGCAGATCCTAGCCTCATTTAAAGTGAAGGCAGAACTCCCAAGGTCACTAACATGGCCAAGACTGCTTTTCCTGTTGGGAAAAAACAGCCAAATGAACTGCCCAAAGACATACCCTGAATCAGTGGCACAGGAAGTTTAAACTAGACAAGTGCGAGTCCAATCACTGTGCTATATGCAGTCATCATAAACACACCACATTACTTTGTTGTGTTGAACGACATTTTCTGACAACAGCCACTCCTTAGTTTTTGCATGGGGGTGCATGAGAAATGCATCATTTCACTGCAGTCAGGAAATCACAACCGCACAGCCACCCATTTCAGCTCTGCTCATCTGCATAACACACAGCTTTCACTGGATAAAGAGCTCTCCTTGATTCTTGTTAAAAACCACTACTGATCTAGCTGGGCATTTCTGCAGACTGTAGAGTAAGTACACTTGAAATCGTAACAGTGAAAGACAATCACGATTTGTGTTCCAGAGTGAAACACTTTCTAAAATGCTGCTAGATGGAATACTTAAGTAACAGTGCATGATAGTAAATTACACTATGATAGTCTTTTTACTTCTGTCTCTTTCTACAGTACAGCAGAGCAAATCTTACAATATACCCAAGGATGCCCCTGTAAAACTCTGCTCCTGAAACTTGCCAAGAATAATCTCTGATGGGTAAGTGAGAAAGCTGGGTTGTTAACATCTGATCCAAATTTAATAATCTGTAGAAAAGGTATGCACTGGAAGTGTGTGGCTTTAATTAACTGCAAATAATCCCCCAAGGCAAATATTTAATTACCTGCACAGCTTCTTACTTCTTTTGTGGCGTGACAATAAATTTAGAAATCCAAGTTTGAAAGCAGAATATCTCACTGATGTACTCTGTTAAAATTTGCCCTTGCTGAACTTTTTGTCACCCTGCCGTGGACTTAAAACTCTACTCACTACTATCAACCGGACCACTGTGTTGGCCTCTCATACTAGGATGCCACATTGTGCTGTGAGTTACAAGGGATTACCCTATCAGTCCAAATCAGAGCTGAATTAGAATTTCATAAAATTCCAAGTTTAATCAAAAAGCAAGTTGAAGGACCTCTTGGTATAAATGGGAATAGCACTAAAAATCTGTGGGGAATTTTTCAAGCAAACTTTAAACCCGTTGAATTAAATTCTGGCTTTGCTTAAGTTTTTGATAAAGCTTTCAGGATACCAAACAAGCCAAGATTTCCACCACCTGTAGCCCCATACTCTAAATTATTATCTTTTTCTGTATGATTTAGTTGCATGTTTGTAAAAGCAACTGTACCAACCAAGCTGGAATCAGAAGTCCTCTGCCTTAAGCATCGTGCAGGCAGGGGCTGAACACAGCCCTTCAAACAGCCAAAAGTGATGATAAAGTGTGATATTACCTGGTCTGGGTGGGAGAGATGCACTGGCTGTGTTCCATCAGACCCTTAGAGCTATCTTACCCTACCGCACAGCACTTCATACGCCCAGACCTGTGCCTTTAATCTCAGTCCAGAGGTGCCACCTTCTCTCCCACAATGAGGAATTACTCCAATTTCATGCAAAAATCAATCCCCAGCATCAGAAGAGCAATTACGTGCTTTGGTCAATAAAAACAAATGGAGCCTAAGGAGCCTCGTGCTTGGCTGATCTATGTGCCCCATCACAGAATCACAGAATTTTCATGGCTAGGAAAGACCTTGAAGATCACTGAGTCCAACCATTCACCCAGGGGGAAAAAAAACCCAACAAAGAAAAAAACCCACAAAAGCACAACCACACACCCCACAAAACAAACCAGACAACCCACAAAAAAACACACCATGCCCTCTAGAGCATGCCCTGAAGTGCCGTATCTACACACTTCTTGAATACCTCCAGGGATGGTGACTCCATCACCTTCCTGGGCAGCCTATTCCAGTGCCTGACCACTCCTTCAGTAAAGACATTCTTCCTAATATCTAAATTACAGAACATTGTGTAGCTTATGGTAAACTACAGTTACACACACTATGGGGTGCTGTTGCTACTCCCCCTCTTTGGCACATCTGGCACTCTGACCCCACAGCTGTGCTTAGCATCAGCATTGGCCACCTCACCTGGAGACCACCTATGCCATTTGGCACATCTCCTCACACTCCCATAGCTGGCTCTGCACAGTTTATCCTTACGGGATTGTAATTGTGTGTTAAAATTTCATTGTGATCATAAGCAGTTTTCTAATTGTTCCAGGGTTTGAGAAAACAATTTAATTGCACAGAATTCCAAATTATCCCAGGCAGTACACAATGCTAATTGTGCTCAAGTGTTGTTTGTTTGAGGTTTTTTTGTAAAACACGTTTCTGAAAAAAGTGGAACCTGGGCAGGAGTTACTGCCTAGCTGCAAGAGTCCACCACTCCTATTTCAGCAGTAGAAATCAGTCTTTGCATTAGGCTGCAGATTCTGAGTTTCAAAATCTCTGAGGTCAAGACCATGTCAAAGATTTCTTCTTTTCAAATGCAAATATTAGATCAAATATTCCAGCCCAAAGGTCCAAAGATAGGTTAATTTTAAGATTAACAAGAATAAAATAAAGAAAAGGAATAAAATCAGACTTATTAAGAAAATCTGAACCAAACAAGAGTAAAAGTGTAAGACCAATCGGTCAAAAAAAGCTGTTTCCAAATAGGCTGCAATGCACAAGTGCCACCTCCAATTCACTTTGAAAGCAGTGGTGGGATTCCCACTGATGATTTACTACTTTCTGCATGCAAGTTTTCAGTAGGGTAGTGGTATTCCACAGGTTCAGCTGGCCTCTGTGCTCACTTAACCCTTCAGTGCCTTATGCATCTGGGCATAAGTCAGTATCAGAGTTCTAAATCATTCCAGCATCTGCAAAAGCTCTGGCAATCCCTAAAGCCTGCATTCAACTCTAATTGGCTAGGGAACTAACTCCTGACTTTTTAAATAGCATAAAACAGTGTTAATCTTCTCCTAACACAGCAACTTATCTGTTAGGTCACACTGCAGAATCCAAGTCAGGATACTATTTCACAGCACAGCATGTTTAATTTTTTGAAAACACATGCTGGGGACAATTTATCTTGGATAATCAGATTGGGACTGTAAGGGTTAACATTCCTCCAGGCAGGACTGAATATAGTATTTCTGATACTACACTGGAGCACAGTTCCTAATGTCACCATTCATCACTCATGAATGAACCAAACATGACATTTAATGACATAAATGAACCCAAGATAGGCCACTTTTATCTACTGTACATGAAGCATCGAAGTGCTCATTGAAGTCCGAGCATCCCATAGCTCCTTCAAACCTGCTTTTAATTGGTGGCTGCAGTGACAGTGTCCATGTCAGGGGCACTGGGCTCTGCACCCCTCAATTGTATTGCAACAAATGTCTCACAGGGCTGTATACTGGAATGCACCTGGAAATCAACCCCAGCCTTTAGCAACACATGAGGAAAATATTTGGACTTCAAGTAAGCTGACCACAATACTCCCCAAGTATATTCACTGTTCCAATATATCAACTGTATTTTAAATTCAGCTCCAAGAAAACCACATAGCTTTCAATAAACTATCAATCCCACCCTTCCTGCCAATAATCAGACACTATTTTCTCTAAATACTGCATAAATCCCCATGTTTTTCCAAGCCATTCATATTATTTTTTTTTAGCAAATGCTAAGGAAGAGAAGAAATGGTAAGATCTGCATGTTAAGTGGTTTTAATGATCTTTTAAAATTCACTTCCCCAGCTACTCTGTATGGCTTATTTACTGAGTCATTTCTAATGTGCAACACACCTGGGTCCTGCACACAGCCTAGATAAATCACGATGTTTTAGGGAGCTGGAAGAAGATTAAAGAGGGAAAAAGCTGGTCATTATGAAAGAAACAGGTTCAGTGCGTTTTATTTTTTAAGCATGATACTGTGAAAAATGACTGGAATATTTCCAGAGTGGAAGAAATCAAGCAGGCGTCTAAAATTACAGGTAATGGTGTGCACGGAGGCTGCCACATGATTAGGGTATTCTTTTGCCTCATAAACCGAGGAAAATGTGCTAAAATGAAGTACTATAAAATGGTGATTTATGAGAAGTTAGGGAGAGATTCTTGAGCTTTGACTTTAAAATGTTATTTTTATATCCACCAAGATTTCATTTTAATCTATCTATATGACAGATTAGATTTATTGGAGCCCAAGTTTATATGGCTTGGTAAAACAGACCTTTTTAGGTGCAACAACCTGTAGAGATATTTTTGCAAGTGTTTGGGTAATAGACCAGGCAGTTCATCTCTGCAGGTGGGGTCCTTAGAGTGGTGCTCCCTCTCACTCATGCTTGGAGGTGACAGAAGGGCATCTCCTCTAACCTCAACTACAGAGAACTTTCAGGTGCAGCTGGTACCATAACTGTGGGCATCCTGCTGCTGCCATCAGGGGCAGGGCCTGTTGTACAGGGCTCTGGGTAAGGAAAAAAATGAGAAAAAACCTGGCCACCTTGGTTAGACCCTTCTCAGGAGATGACGTCACACAGCTGAAGGCAAGGGTTGGGGGGGAGAGATGGAAGGAGTAGGTGCTCTCATCAGAATGATGGGAGCACAGCTGGATGGCTCCAGGTCAGTTAACACTTAAAAATAAGTACGATCTAAATAAACCAGCTAAGTAGATTAGTGTCAGCTGTTGTGGCTGCCTGTATTGGTGAAGGATAGAGAGAAATATGGGCTGCACCCTGTCTGGATGCACAATGCTATAGGTAGGCCAAATTAAAGGAAAAGACAATAAGCCTCATGGTGTGCAGCTCACAGCGAACATTATGGAGGGTGTCAGGGGAACAGGCACTTGGCTGGATGGTGATGGTTACATACCTGGTTTGAAAAAAACTCAAATCACACCACTTAGCTTGTGTTAGCCAATTTGCTTTCATATAAATCCTTCTAACCAAGGGAGAGAAAAATGTTATCACTGCAGCTGGCATGCAGAGCCACAGCTCCGGTTGGGGGTGTTGAATCTCTTCCATTAAAAAGGTTCTCTTTCAGTTACCTATAATTGAAATTTTTCAGGCTGAAATTTTCCAGGTCTAATCATAGCCCAAGGGTGAAGTAAAAACATTTCATTGGTAGCTGCTGAGCACTCAGCACTTCTGAAAATCAGGTCATTCATTTAGATGTCTTAATATATACTTAAGAGCTGATTTTAAACACCTCTTTTTGAACATATTGGCCTTTCAGTCAATCTTTTTCACCCACTTATCAATGTCTAATTTACGTCGATTTGCACAGCTCCCCTGCATTTGAAATGCTCTTTCAGTTTACCCCTTCTCAATCATTTATGTCCTTAAGACACCAAGGTTTTTCCATGGGGAAAACTACACCTGGCCAAACAGGAATTTTATATCCATTATGTTTTACAGGCAGGATACTCAAAGGCTTCTGGGTTGCACAAAGTGAGTTTTCAGGGCTAGCCCCGAGACAAGGGATATACCTAATTCTGTTTCTGACAACATAAACCCTCCAGCTGACTCCATTTCAGAGCATGTAGAAAAATAGTGACTTGCTTTAAATGGCGCTCCCATAGGAGCTCAGACTTTGGTTAACACCTGGAAATAATTAATTGCTACTTTATTTTTAAAATTAATTAGCATATGATTTAATTTAGTTGACCTTCAAATGAAAATTCAGTTCTTATTAAGTGGTAATGAATTAAAATCAGTGTATTGTGCACAGAAACTTTGCCATGATTACTGAATGGGGAGTTCATTCTTCACCTACACTAAATCCGGTTGCTTATTTAATTCTTCTGCCAGAAAGCCCTTGAATTAAGTCAGGTTAAATAGTAATTTGTAGGACAGGTAATGCCGATGAAGATGGAGAATACTCTCTCTCTCTCTCACACACACACACAGCTTTAAAAAAAAAAATCACAGGTTCAAAACAAACCACAGCTATATACAATGGTCCATTTAAAATGTGTTTGTAGTCCCAGCGTAATCTTGTATGGACAGGCATACTAGGCTGAGTGCAGCCTGTCTGATACATGTTTTATCAGCTGCATAAACATTAATGACTTTAATCACTTTGTTCTGCCCTTACACTTCATAAAGAGAAGCATCTCTAACTTGAAATATGCTGTATATAAAGGATATACTTCCACATGCACAGTAATGAAGCGCTACAAAGGTGCTGCCTAGAGATGTCAGCTCTTCCCCCAAGAGCTAATAGTTATGCATGCAAGTTTTCAAGGGTAAAATTGCCACATTTCTTTATGGTAATTCCAGACAGTGGAAACAGAAACTTGGCACAGGCTGGAATAAGAGGATACCTCCACTGCATAATATCAAACACCTTTATTTTATTGGAATATGACTGTTCTGGTTTCAGTTTTTTTGTTTTGTTTTGCTTTTTCCTAAGGACAGACAGAGCACTCCAAAAATTCAGTCTGCTCACAGGCCACACACAAAGAGGGTCTATGTGAGCTGTTTTCCTTGGACGATGTCTCTGCTATTGTGAATAACAGGAGATATACTTACTCATTAATATGAGTTTTGTAATCTCACAGTAGGTTTTAATTTGGAGTCACTCAAACCATGATTCCTACACTGCTCCACACACTTATCACAAAAGTTCCCCCTTTTCTCAAAAAAACCCACCTGATAAAGACGACTCAGGTAAGACAAAAATGCTACAATTTCACAGTAGCAGAGATGCATGTGATCCATTTCAAACAACATCACATTTTAGAGCAACAAATAACTATTTAAATGTGTTTGCCATATTCTAATCCCACAAATAGGAGAAAACAAGCAGAAAAACTACTAGTCAACTCAAACTGGAGACAGAACACTTGTTTTGGTGCACTCACCAGACCTGATCTTTGAAAGACTTCCATAGTAGGCTTGGAAACCTCCTATTCCAAGTGGTATAAACTATGCATTATGGAAATATGTAGCCTAGATTGTTTGCCACAAATCTTCTTTTGCAGTAATTAGGTGGAAGGACTGGAAAAACATAATTTCTTTAAATGCTGTTCATCCAGTTCATTTAGTTGAAGATAAATTACAGAAATTAGTATGTTCTAGAACCTGGCAAGGTTTAGCTGTGTTAACTCAGTGGGCAAACAATTTGAAGGCTGAAATTTATTTTTGAGAGCAGCAGGTGTTTTCAGAAATGCCAGGATTTTGTAAAAGTGCCATTTCTCAAGCAGTAGCAAGTTTTTGGTAACACTAGTATTAATTCTAAAACAACTCAAAATCTAAAACTAAAAAATTTAAAATCTTCTATTGGAATTAAAACTATGGATTGAAAGTATGGGCTGGTGAATGTGGCCACCTCATAATTCAAAATTCTTGGTTATATTAAAAAAACTAGCAAGTAAATCCCTACATGTTCTTTTCCCCACCATTTCTTTCTTCTTCTTGTATGACTATATACAAAATAGATGGAGGAGAATCTGTCTTGCTTCCTTTTCCCTACCAGATGCTTTCCATCTTACTTCTGAGGAGTGGCAGGACATCAAAGAGAAACTGCCCCTTGTATTTCTCAGGGCACTATCTCTTCTGTCAACCTCTCAAGAGAAGAGAGGAAAATGCTATACTCTTAGTATATTACAGGGAAAGTGAGACCTAGAGCACCTATAGATTTCCTGAGAAAACTAATAAAATGGGTGAAAAAACTGGAGCGGTTACACATTGAGAAGGTCACTGAAAAGCTTATCAGAAGATGTACTCCAAGCAATACCAAAAAGTTGGGACCTTCAGTAAGACTGCAGGCAGTAAAAAAAAAATAAATCCAAACCCAATGCTTCACTGTGACCCTCACATTACAAAACAGAAAAAAACCAAACACATCTGATGGGACATCTTAGACATACAGAATACATAAACAGGCCAAATGTCAGCAAAAGAGAGAAATGAATGACATGAAATCACCAACTATGCTGGGGCTGAATCCATCACTATTTTTGCCTTCCACTACCCTTGCAATGACTTTATGAAGATACCAAAAGCAAAAGCCAGTGCTTCCACAAGGGTCTGTGGTTGGTTGTTTTTTTTCTTCTCTGCAGAATCAATCAATCAGTTAAGAGAGCACTTAAATCAACCTGCCAAAGGCTTTGAACTCATAATCAGGTAGGTATGCTGGCTCTCTAGCATGTGTCTTTGGAACAAAAGGGCAAGATCTCACACCCCGTCACACTTATCTAGAAAAATGAGAAGAGAGTCAAGCAGCAATGCTGAATTAAACATTAAATCTTTTAAAATAAATAAGTTAATGGATGTTAATAATTATGTTATCTCAGTAAAATGCATTAAAATTTTCTATTAGTCTTTCTTGAAGGCTGCACTGATGGACTGTATTTATTATAGATAGCATAACTCCTGTTTTCAATTACCAGTAGCGAACATTTTATAAATCACCCAGGCTGTTTCCTGATGTACCCCCACAAAAATGCCCATAAGTGTAGACCAGCACAAGCAATTAATAGCATGATATCACAAGAGCATCAAAAGCAATATGTCTGTGCACTGGTTCCTATCTGTAAACCAACAACTCCACAGGAAGAATCTCAGCTTGAAACATTTAAATTGGATAATCTCTCTTTTTTGTTTCCTAAACTCCCTGTCATTTGGCCCTGTGACACTTTTAAATATTTATCACAAACTAAATGATCTGAATGCCTAGCACAGTCTGCAGAAGATAAACATTACTTTCTCCCTCTCAGTTATGACTTCATCTCCTCCTGTCTCCTCTTGATGTGTTTATAGCTATTGTGTTTTTCTTTTTCCCCATCAGAAGAGCACTGAATAGGGAGTTAATATTGCTAAGATAAATGTGCACACTTAACTTTATGCCTGTGAGCCATCCCAGTGAGCCCAAGCTTTGGGCTTATTTCTGATATGTCATGTATGATATTTTAGGTATTACCTCTATAACAAGGGGACTTGGAATTCATGGCATCTGTCCTACCAGCATAACAGCTGGTGCCAAGTACTTCATTACAAAGACTTTTGTAAATGAAAATCCAAGCATTGACCTATTTCTATATTGTTTAACTGGGATTTTTGGCAATTTCCAGACAAAGGAAAAGCAGGCCTTATGAAATGTCCTCTTGGGATTGGATATTTTGAAATGTAATTTACAATCTGTACCTTTATCCTCACTCAGCTCTCTTTCTTCTGATGATGATAGGCTGGCTACAGCTGAAGGTTTTGTCTCATCTATGAGAACCAAGGAAATGAAAGAGATGTTATTCATTAGATAGCAAAGTGATGAACTTTACTGAAAAAAAGCATTACACCATATTGAAGCAAGATGTTAGATCTGAATTTGATTTTTTGGGCTTCCACCCATTCACATTGCCTTCACCAGCCATTACTGGTCTGATTGTCTTTCCTAAGCCAGGGATAAACTTACATTACAATACTGCCAGATCAAGTCTATATTTCAATTCCTCATCATATAGAGAGAGCAGCAGCTATTGGTTTCATGGGTAGGCTAGTGTTGCTATTTGCTTTGAGATTCCTTTTTTCATTTAATCTATCTATTTTGAGAAAAAAACAATTAAGCTATTCTTAACTTTAATCATGTCCATAAATCCTATTGGAATAAAAATGATTGCATGCAAATGCTTTCCTGAATTAGAAGCTTTCACGAATCAGGCCTGAAATACAGCAAGACCCTGAAAATCTACAGCCTGGAGTTTTTTAGTGGTTGAGCATGTGAATAACTAGTGTAGTTAATAGATAAAACCAGTGCCTGAGTTTAATAGATTTTTTAAAACTTTCACTGTTACTTTCTCTTTGTACTTTTTATAATTTAAAAACCTTTATAAGCCTTTGTTTTCATTTCTACCTTTTAATTACTTTCTAAAGAACTCATCTCTGATGACAGGTTTTTTTTCCTAATATAGACATTGAGTATTTTTAACAACTTGAAATAAGATCTCTAAACCACCTGCCATTTTGTGTTTCCACCAGTTAACTGTGAAGTTCCCTCCTGACTGGAGGCTGGATTAAAAAAACCCACACAGTAACAGCTGAAAAATTTCATGCCAGTCTTTGTACATTACAAGTGGCTTTTTCATCTATTGTGTAGTAAGAATATATACAACTTTATGTAATAGATGGGGTATGAATATCCAGTTTCTATTTTTTTCTCCTATCTTTTCTTTCACAATATAGAAAGTACACACTCTGTGATTTGTCACACTCGGATGAAAGTTTTACCTTTTGGTTTAGAAAATACAAATAAGAACTTCAATATTTTAATAGGATTGCTCCTTCCCATGATCATTCCTAGTGCTTTGAAACATTTTAGGCACACAGTTGCACATCTTAGAAAATCAGGTCATTTCCTACTGCCAAGAAAGGGAAAAGAAGCAGCAATCCTGAAAGTTGCCAATGATGTTTTGTCTCCACAAAGAGCAGAGTGGAAGTCAGCAGCAACTCATTAGCAGAACATAACTAAAGTAATTGTACACCTCAGTGTTCTTATCACTATGTGAACCAGCAAGGATAAACGTTAAGCCAAATCATTTTTTCCTGTAACACTGTATGCCTGTGGCTGAGGAGGTGATTCATGGACTATGTGTAGGCACAACACTATCTTTAGGCATGTACCTAAAACGCATTCCTAAAGTATGGTATGTTCTGGATCTGGGACCTGAAATGTCTGGATCTTTTCTTTGACGCTCT